GCTCTCTCTCTTGCTCAAATAACTAAATAAAATCTTAAAAAAAAAAAAAGAAAAGCAGTGTCACTTGAGCAAGTGCCAAATATGAGAGATGGAAGAGCATGCTGTGTGTGTGTGTGTGTGTGTGTGTAACATTGAAGATGACCAGAAAGGTAAGTATGAACTATAAAGTAATGAGCTTTTACTGTTAACTAAGGGATTTGGAATGAATTCCACTTAGATAGTGTAGATAAGGAAGCTCTCTGAGCATGGAGAGACATGATCTGCTCTATGTTTTTGGAAGAAGGACCTAGTGACAACACGTTAAGATGAACTAAAAGTGGGGAGGAAATGAATTAAGTAAGGCTGGGCATTAGAAGTTACTGTAAAATGGTGCAGAGTAGAGGGAACACGGGTACCCAGACTAGACTGATTATTGGTGATCCAATTAAAAGCCAGGGGACAAATGTCATATGACACCCAGTGATGTTTTGGTTACAGAGGGTAGGAAAAGCAAAATTAAGGTTCTTCCTTTGGTTTTGGTTCATACCAATTCAATTTACTTATTATGAAACATACACTTTACTATGAGATGCTTGCCTTGGATAAACAGTTGAGTCTAAAGGAAAACAAATTTAAAATAAGAAAATGGAAAAAAAATGTTGAAGAATGATATTATATTGCAAGGTACATGATACAGATCTGCAGTTTTCTAACTCCTCCTTTTTTATTTCTCTCCGTTTAAATGCTTATCTGCTTTATAAGACTCCTTCTAGGATTGAATCTCATCAGTGAGGTTATAAATGGTAGTGTACAGTATTATATGAAAGTTGATTGAATCAATAAACAGAACACAAAAGTGTTGACAATTGCCATTTATATTTTCCATTATATGGCACACAGCATAGGAAAAGAATTCAGTCTGGCATAATAAGCAAATGGTGAATGGATCAAATATCTGCAGTGCCTAAGTCACATGCCACACTCAGCTCAGAAGATGGGCCCTAAATATTTTGCAAGGCTCCATCATTTTTCCTTTCATGGAATGACTCTCATCGTTTAGCCAAATTTACCTCTCTTTCACCAAGACGATGTGTTTTCTAACATCTATTACAATAAATGACTCTGTAGAAAGACTGTATTATGAAATCAATGCTATAAAATGAGCTGGAGTCTTTCGCTAGGCACTGGGGAAAATTCATTTCTTGGTGTGTGCAGAAGAAAAATACTTTTCCCAGCTTATATTTTCAATACAAGGCAAGGTTGGGAAAGTTCCATAACGAAACTACTTGGAAGCTGCCAGCAGGGCAGGCAGCTATTGTTATTTTGACACATCACTGGGGGACACGTACTGGGAAAAGCCTTAGTTTTCTTAGCTTAGTTCCATATTGCCCAGTGAATCATCATCACAAAGTGTTCTGAGGAGCGGTATCATCAGGTAGCCAGTGTGGGTGCACTGGGTATGAGATACAGATGAACTTCCTCATGGGAGAAATAATAGGGTTGAGGGTGTTCAAAGCCTTCTATGTGGTAAATAGAACTCACGTGACTATTTAGAGAAGTACTCCTGATTTGCAAGAAAGGAAAAACAATCTGTTACACTCTCATTACTTTGTCATGATTCATATGGAGTTTTGTAATCATCTTGTTCCATGATTTGCAAAATAACAGTGTATGAATCCTAATAATCTATACTGATCACTGTCCTAGTCCTCATTTTCTATCCCTGTATAATATGTTATTCCAAATTTGGGACCTAGAACATTAAGGTAAGTATGTAAATGTCCTAGAAACAAAGGGATGAAAAATGAAATCATGAACAGAATTGAAATATCAAACAACTGTATCTCCTCAGGAAAAAAAAAAAAAGACATTTCAATTTTGACAGGTAGTAAAATGAATTGTAGAACTTTCATGAAAAACCAGAAGGTAAAAAGCAATTGATTTAGTGAGTAGGAAGGAAGGGGCAGTAAAAGGATTTTATTATATTTATTGATTTCTGGGGGCTCAATGTTATACTGCTCATAAGGTCATCTTATCACACTGACAACCAGAGCTCAATCAAAACAGTAAATCACACTAGGTAATTATGAGTTTATGTTTTTTCAATCTAAATGATAACACAAAATGAAAAGTAATTCCCCAGAAACTCTTTTTCTGTTATCAAAAAGCTTGCTGAACTAGAAACCTTCATTCTTTACTGTCCAGAGCTTAAAACACCCTTCACAGAGATTTGGTCAACTAAAAAGTGAACTAAACATTATATCTATACAAGATCACAAAAATTACAAAATTTAAAAGACTTGCTAACGTGAATAAAGGAAGCATTTGAAACTATAAGAATAGACATAAAGTGACAGAATAAACTAACTCCAACATGGTA